ATAATAGTAAACAGGGCGATAGACATTTTGCAAATGGGAAGTGAACCAAAAACAGGAAGAAAGAATGGGGGAAAGGAACATAAACAGAATTAAGGTGTGTCACATACACATTCCACAATGAATATATTCCTTGTGTACTGCAAACGCATACTAATAAAAAGTAATTTAATTATGTTTGCTGACAATTTTATGGGTGAAATGCTATGATGTCTAAGATTATCTGTAATATATCTGGAAGTATAGAGGCTAGATGTCATGAATTTATCACTGATGAGTTGGGTGAAATGCATATGAAGGATTATTATTTTATCATCTGTACTTTTGCATACGCTTAAACTTTTTTATAAAGAAAGATTAGCTAGCTTTAGTGACAATGAAAAGCAATTTTGCTGTTTATTCTAAAATAGTAAAAGACTGAATGCCGTGTTTGGGCACAAACATCTCCTCCAGTGACACACGAAATACAGGGTTCAGGACTTCTGATTCTGCCTCATTCAGAGTCTTACACTGTACCAGGTTTATGTTGTCCTTATAACTGAATTCCCCACAGGTGAGGGTCAAGCCTATTAACTAGTGAACCCCAGCGGGGTTTGCAAAGGAAAAACGATGCATTCAGAAACAAAGATGCTAGACAGTTCTGAAGATGTCTATGCACAGACTCAAAATCTTCAATTGTTTGAAGATAGACAGTAAATGTGTAGATTTTCCAGGATTTCTTCCTCTTCAGGAGGTCAGAATTAAATAATTCTTGGTTTGGAATGAACTACCTGCTCTCTTCTTACTTGGTCCAGTACAAGATATCATTCTCTTCGGGAAAATAGAAAATGGAAAACACTTAACACTGAACTTGGGAGCCTGTTGGAAGCTGTTGAGAAGCTGTAAGGAACTGTTGGTTTTCTTGCAGGAGATTACCATGCTGGCTTTCCTGATGAACTTGGCTGTTTTCATTCTCTAAGGAGTTTGGGACCTTATTGGCATTGAGGAATGGCTTCGGTTCATTTTGGGGAAGCTTTGGTCCTCACTTTGAGCATTGCTTCCTGGCTGTAGAGGGGAAGATGCAGCATTGCTCATTCTCATAGAGAAGCTTGTTGCTTTGGCTTTCTTGATAGGAACTCAGCCATCCTAATCACTGGAGGAGCTCAGGACCTCACTGTTGCTGAGGATGGCTGTGGTACTTTTCAGGGGAGCTCTGGTTCTTACTTTGAGCATCACTTCCTGACCCCAGGGCAGATCCCTCAGCCTGCTATCACAGATCCTTCATCTCAATGGCACAGACTTTCTAGATTCCACCACTGATCTTTGGGCCTTTCCAGTGCAGATCTGTGAGACAGGCCTGCATGAGACGTTGTCCTGGGTTCTAGGCCTCCAGTTGGATTCGTGGGAGGCATTTGATATGGGCTCTAGGTCTTCAGCTGAACTCATACAGGATGTTTCCATGGGATCAAGGCTCTCAGCTGGATTCTCTGGTCTTTAGTGTGTGGACAAATTTTCTGCACTTTCTTGTATCTGATTGTTTGGGTAACTACTATAAATAATCTTATAAAATATGTGTCCTGTATTATATTCCTTCCCATTGCAATAAGCCCCAAACTACAACACTCCCCAAAGTTAAAGACCCAATCAAAAAATGAGTAAGCAAGTCAATAGACACATCAGAGAAGAAGTACAAATGGCCAATAAACACATGAAGAAGTACTCAACATTCCTGGCCATTAGAGAAGTACAAGGCAAAAAACACTGAGATTCCATCCTACCCCAGAAAGAAGGGCCATCAGCAAGAAATCAAGTGCTGTAACAACAAATGCTGGGGAGGCTGCAGGGAAAAAGAAAACCCTCTATATGTTGGTGGGAATGAAAATTAGTATAACCATAATGGAAATTAGTATGGAGATTCCTCATAAATCTATAACTAGAAATTCCAATTGACCCAGCTATTCTTTCTAGTTTTCTTTCCAAAAGAGTTATAGATATCATTTTATAGTGATATATGCAGACTCATGTTTATAAATGTAAAATTCATAATAATTAAACTGTGGAAGAAGTCCATATGACCATCAACAGATGAACGCATAAAGAAAATGTGGTATTTGTGCATATTGGGGTACATCTCTGCTATAAAGAAGGATAAACTTGAGTCCTTTGCAGAAAAATAGATATACCTTGAGACAATAATGTAAAGTAAATTAGACATACAAGCTTAAATATCACATGACTTCTCATATGAGAAACAGAGTAAAAATGAAGATGAAAATAAAAATAGCTAATAAGAAGTAGGGAAATAGATCTTTTTTTTTTTTTTTTTTTTTTGGTATGGGGAATCGAACTCATGACCTCAGGGTTGCCAGGCAAGCATTTATGCCACTGAGCTATATCCCCAGCCCAGGAGATAGATCATTCTAAAAGGGAAAAGGGATCTAAAAATGGAGGGAGTGGAGAGAGAGATATAAGGGATGCAAAAAGGAATTAGGATGTGCTATGTACATGTATCAACTCCATACAAGGAATATAAGCATCACGTATTGTAAGCATGTACACAGAAAGGATGATGATCAAAAGATGAGTGGAGGGAAGAGGCAGTGAAGGGAAAGGGGATGAAAAAGGGCTTAAGATGTGTTATGTACATGTACAAAATTCCCACGAGGAACATAAGAATTAGACACTGCGCACATGTACTAACAAACCAGTTACAAAATGACAAGTAAAAAACTCATATTACCACATCATAGCTACATTTTCTGGAGTATGCAAGCTGTAACTATAATGTGTTCAAAATACGTAGAATACAAAGATTGGTTTTTAGTATCTATAATAATGATTCTGTTTATTGGCTTTATAAATTGCTTTTACATGTATAATTTCCTTTCCTCATCTCATTAATCCTAAAAGGAAAGTGTGATCATTTCTTCTGTCTTTCAAGTATCAAAAGTAGAAATCCAGATTAAATGATAAACCAAGTGATAAGAGGTGGTTTTCTATGTAATTTTCTTGGTGAAGAGTAAAAGATATTCCAATTGTTATTCATTAAAATAAGCTTCTCAACATTTGTACATAGGAATGGGGCATTATATAAGACTACCTGATATTCATGGTGTCTGATCCATTTAATTGTACCTGTGAGGGAAACTTACACAAAACTCCTCCTCAAAGGTTTATATTAATTCATTCAATTGTTGCTTCAGTGATGCAGCACATAATTTACTGAATACCCCTATGTTTTTGCTACTAATCTAGGGTTTGCCTGCCCTGAAAAATCACATATGATTTGCCCATTAGATTGACACAGAGAGCTAAGTCAATGAGGAAACCTTGTAATCTGTGAGACCGTGCTATTGCCCAGAGAAAAGTAAAGCCAGAAAGAGGATACCAAGTGCCCAAAGAGCATTTCAATTTCAAATCTGTTGATGAAGGAAAGCCTCATGAGGCTTCATGGATGCTATGCAAGGAACCCAGTGGATATGTGCAGGGAAGATTGTTCTGAGCACAAGAAACAAATTGCAAAATCTCTGTGGTGGAAGCTGCCTAGAGAGGTCAAGAGATTTCTAGGCAGAAATGCCTTCAAATGGCAGCAGATTGTATGGAAGATGAATAGATTGAGATCAGATCAGATAGGTAACAATTTGCTTATGACCAAGCTAGCCTTTTGAACTTACTGAAAGTGAAACAAAAGTCTAAACAGCAGAGAGGCAAGTAGATGGTTATAACATGACAACATTTACCATGATCAAAGTCATCCTTCTGAATGATCACATGAAGTAGAAAAGGACAATGAAAAACAATTATGTATAGGATCAATGCTCGGTCATGAATGCCGTGTGATTCAAATAGATCAGTGAGACTTTATTGAGAAAACTTCATGTTGTGATACAGAGCCAGAAGGTCACAAGATATTAATCCAAGGCTACTGAGAAGAATTTACTGGAAAAAACCCACTAATAATGAAAACAGAAGGAATCATGGGGAAGGACTTTGACAAATCCCAATGCTTTTTTTAAAGTGTTATGTAATGTCAAGAAAAAAGTAGCAAAAACTGTGACACGCCCTCCCTAAAAAAAAGCCATCTGTGATACCACTTCAAATCCAGTGAGGGTAGATTTTATAAGATTCTATCCAAACCTTCCTCTATTGAGACTTTGACAGCAACAGGAATGCACACACCTCAATATTAACTCCTTCAAGATGAGGCAGGCTGAGATGACATGGTACAAAGGGACCTGTCCCTAAGTTGGATGGTGATATGATAAACATCTATATTTTCTTTCTTCATACTATTTCGCTTTTTTAACCCACACACTTCTTCTATATTGTTAGGGTTATAAACAATTTCTCTACTTGATGACTGCAAAACTTTCCCTAAATTTGTGAGGTCCTTTGCACTTCTTCTCATCCTAATTTGCAGTAGCTACTAGCCTGAACATCTAGATACCTTCTACCACGTCACGACTCAGGAACAAAGGGAAAAAATGGCACATTGTCGAGGTACTTCAAATCCACCTGTACTCAACCTAGAATCTGCATTAGGTATATAAGAAAAATGGGAAGACTGTGTTGAAAGGAAATATATGGTTTATTCATCCCTGGCCATTTGCTTATGGCTTAGACCACTGTATCTCCTAGTAAGAAATTTTCTTTTCAAATGCTGCTGTCTGTTTTAATGTCTCCTTTTTACTTCCTTCTCCTCTTTTTTATATGTCATTCTCTGTCCATCCCTCCCAACATCTTCCCTTTAGTTTTTTTAAAAGGGAATTTTTCTTTTCCCTTTAGTTTTTTCAAAGACAGTGTTGAGATGCAATGGAATAACATTGAACTACTAGGAAAAGACACTTTTGTTAGGGGCCTTGCTAGTAACAGTATGCTATGAGCCAGCTAACACTTGGATTATGAAAAAATGTGAGAAATTGAATATTAGCAAATGTGTGACACAAGGTGGGAGGCTGAGAACACTTGGAAGTAGCGACCAGGGAAAGAGGTGGCTGAAAATGCTGCTAATTTTTCATGTTTACCTGTAGCAACTCCGTGCAGGATTAGCCCCTCCATATCAGCTTGACCGTTCATGTGGGAGACAAGTGAAGGGAGATGCAGTGAACGTGTTCCAGGAGCCCATTGAGAATGTGCAGGAAGGCACTTTGTAACTGTCGTAGCTGAATGTAGTTTGACTGTCAATTTAAATTCAGAAACCATAGGATGTTTGTTCTTGGGGGAAATGCTAGAAATAACAGAAATAATAGTTTAAAAATATATAAAAACCCTTTTCTTTTTTATTTTAAAGATAAAAGAATGAAAACGTATTAACAAACATACATACATTTAGAAAATAACACAGAAATACTACAAGCAATATATAATTTTAGACAAGGTGATAGGAAATTAACAGTGATTGTTGTATTACATTTGATATCTTCAAATTGGATACTCAGATAAACAAATATAGATATGCAAGATTGATCAAACAATTAAACATTATTCCTTTCAATAGAGCAATAAAAGTCAGTAGTACAACTATGTTAGTTATCCTGTGTATACATATATACATATTTTCCCCTTCTTTCTTTTCTTTTTTCCTTCATTCCATTTGGTCTCTCCTTTTGAACAGTTTCCTTTCATTTCACAATGTCTATTGTACCTCCTAGATTTTATTCACTCTTTCAAGTTCTTACACTAGTGAGACAATATGGTGTTTTCACATGTGGGTTTGATTTATTTCACTTATGAGTACAGCCTTTAGTTGTGTCCATTTTCCTATATAAGCCTCAAGATTATCTTTCTTTATAGCTGAGTAATATTAAATCATGTAAAAATACCACAACTTTTTTTATCTATTCTTCAGTTGATGGGCATTTGTGTTGATTCCATGATTTAGCTATTAAAAAACTCATTTCTTGAAAGCAAAGGGTTGTTTAGTAGATCACAGATTATGAGGAGTCCCTATAGATCACATAGAGTGTGAGTATTCTGCCTGTTTGATAGCCCTCATTACTACCAATACATACACCTGACACAGGAAAGAGCAGGGGATAGTGGTAACACCTGATTTTCCTTTGGGTGTCAGCACAAACATAGCTGGGGGCATAGAACAGAAAAACAAAACCAGGCTCTTAATATAGGGCCTCACCAGAAAGGAAGAGGAACCACTTTCACATGGGGAAAGTGTCATCAGAATGTTTCACGTCATCAGAGTGTTTCCTGTCATCTTCATTTCATCTGAGATCAAGGAGCCCAAGCCACAGCCAAAGCAGACCCCTCACCAGGAACACTAGGTTCAAGAAAGAAAGAACAGGGGAGACACAGCTACACATACATGAGTATGATGGTGAAACACAGGAAATATACTATGAGATTGGGGTTAGAAGACAATACGGAACATGCACAAATTATTTTCTAAAAATGATGACCACTACAAGAAGAAAAATAAATTGAATAGAAAGTTCTTCATAGGAACTTGGCAGGACAGAGCATGTAAAATGAGCTCAATAACAAAGAGCTAAAGAATATAGTGTGGAAATAGTGTAACTCAGGAAGTAAGTAGAACAAATACACAATCAGTGATAGACAAGAAATATATATCATAATATCACATAAAGTATGATAAGAAAAGCTTGATATTCATAGTAAAAGCTACCGAAAAGACAATGTAATTGAAGAGTTAAGGAGAAGGTAATGGAAATAGACAGCAGACAAAGACAATCCACTTTTTGTGTCTGAAGAAGGGAATTTTAAAAATGTCATAGAAGATGTAATAAGATTAAGGAAATATAGTCCTGTGATGAAGCAGGAATTAAATCAGAAATATATGAAAGTAAGATTCTTGGAATTTTGTTCCCATATGCTTTATACTGCAATGTATTCTTGTTAAAATTTTGAAATTCCAAGTGAAAGAAAATTACTAAAGCCTCTGGCAGAAAAGGCAAAAAAGCACACTGCCTAAAGAACAAAACATCAGGTTGGCAAAAGAGTATTCCACAGAAATATCCAAAGGTGAGACAAATGACCTATGCCTACAAAATATTGCAGGAAAATATAGCCCCCAAGTATTATTCTGTAATTAGTCACAGAATCAGAAAAGAAGCAGTCACACCATCTCCAACATGACAGAACTTGGGAAATGTAGCCAGGAGCTGTCCTGATGAAGTGTTTGCTCTGCAGTGGCTACTGAGGAAGGAAATTAAAAGAAATCTATGAAATAGTCCACAGTGAAGGACCACTGTGAGCATCAGCTCTTTGTAATACAGAGCACAGGGTAGAAGCATGACAAATATGATAGTTATTAAACAGTGCGTTTCTGCTATAGAGAAATAGAAATAAGAAGCAAAAACTTAAATCTGAAGATAGAATAAAAAACAGATCTAGAAAGAACTGATCCAGTATCCTCAACGATGGAACATTCTAATAATAAACTTAAGGACATCCAGATTTTGAAGATTTTATTTGAAGAGACAACAGATTCACGTATCTGGAGCCATCAGACCTGAAATAGTTCACGTTCCTGTGGTGTCATGGTGAGAGAGGAACTTTTATAAGACAATGACCGAAGCAAAACAAAATATGTTTAATTCTCGAGTGTGTCCTCACTTAGAAGTCAGTCCGTGGCTTCTGACTGCTAAATCTGGTTTCTTATTGTTTAACTGAAGAACATGAAGTAGTAGAACTGTCTACTCCATGGTTACTTAGTTATATTTTAAAATTTGTAACAGATCACATTCTGGCTTAACTACTAAATGAAAGTTAAAAAGTATTGAGATGTAGTGAAATAGGGAGAGGTAGAACCTACACTTACATGGAACCCACTGGCCTGATTGGTCTCCACCACTGGTCTAGAAGGATCTAGAGAGTATGCTTAGCTTACCTGGAGGACCCACAAGGAAGTCCTGAGGGTTCAGGTCCTGGCTAGTGTGGGGATAATGCTCTATGTTCAGTCACGTAGATCCCTTTACTTTCTTCTACCATTTGGCTGTTTCTAGCTTGGTCTGCGTCCTTATATTTAGGTTCCTGCACTCTAGATTCTCATTAGAAAACTGAGGGCTGCAGGACCTTTCTCCCTGTCTTTGCCAAAGGCAAAAAGTCCCAGGAAGATATCCTGCTGGAACAGCTCTGAGTCAAGGGCCTGTTTGTGCAAGATCCTAAGAGCCCAGCTGCCTTGCTTTGAGTCTGGACAACTTGGGAGTTAGAATTTGCATCTAGTCGTGGATGTGTTTCTTGTAACATTTCATGGAGTCATATGCATGTGTAACTTTTTCTAACTGCCTGGTATTGGGAAATCTCACTTAGGTCACATTGGTGTTCATTCTGGGGAGTTGTATAAACGAAGTGTAAGAAATACTGACTGAGACAACTTCCAAGGGCCTTGAGCACCACAGAAAAACCTTGTTTTTTTCCCCTGCAGATCACATGAATGCTTGTTGCTTTTGCTGTGTTTAATACCCAACAGTTACAGCGACTATTGTGATTTATTCCTAGACGATATGATTCTACCACAAGCCACCATATTTGGATGTACCTTGGAGAGGACAGTGATGCACAGAACTAATTGTTTAATCTAGTCCTTATGGTCTCTGCTTGTTTCATGTACTATGATGTTTTTCTCTTCCTCCTTTCTTTTCTTTCTGTAGAAAACCAGTATCCAAAAGATAAATATTGGGAAAAAGGAAGCCATGTGTAAGGAGGGCACCGACAACCTACAAGGAGGCCGACTAATGTCTCAAGTTCCTCTTTCCTTTTGGGGGGGCAAAGTTGGCAGTACCATATGAGGATCAGATGTGGGGCTGCGTGCAGAAATCGGTATGTATCCAGGAGGTTGAGCTAGACAGTCTGGCTCCACATTAGGTGGTGAAGTTTTTATGATAATCTAATGTTTTAATCTTGAGGACAGGACATTCCCGTTTCTGATCAGATTTGTGGTCAACAGTGTGTTCCAGGAATCAGTGCAGGAAAGCAAGCGTGATGGCAGGAACGCAGAATGATGTCCAGTCTCAGAATGAGACCAGGAATAATAATTAAGCAAAATGGAACCATTAATAGCAACAGGCTGTTACTCTTTCATCCTCACTCCTGTTTAGCTGCCTACCCTGTCCAGGCATATATGAGTGTGCCATGTCTCATGCGGTTTTATTCTGCTTATTTTGCATGTACATTAATGACAACGCTCTCTAAATCTCTGTATCTTACACAGTGCCCTCTACACTATATTTAAAAAGCTGTCTTCATGCCCAGATTGATGCTTGGTGCTATGCTTTTGGCATCTACTTTTCAGTGCATTGCTACAGGTTCCTACTCCATAACCTGGGGCTGTCCTCATGAAGGCTTTTTTGTGGCCTGTGCATGTGTGGGCTGAATACACTTTCAAACCTACTAAGGTCCACAACTCAAGCAAGGAAGTGAGGAATTTGTCTCTGTGCTGTCTGTTGTGATTTTGCTTTCTTTTTCATAGGTAACCTGACAATTGCATACCTTTGTTGATTCTTTTACTACCTTTATCACTTTCATCCTTCTCACTCAGGCAGGGTCTCCTCTCCATGTCTCCCAGGACATTGGCCCTCACCAGTATTTCCTACCTGTTATACATGCTGCAACACAAGCTATTCTCCTATCAAAAGATTCTGCATTCCAGTTCCTCTTTTTCTCTTCACCTTCTTATGATCATCACAGTGTGAGAAGGAAGAGTAATTATTAGCAAGTCTGCATCTTAAATTATAGCCTTCGTGCTAGAAACCACCAGTCAGAAAATGTAAGTTACAGATGAGTGGAGATTCAGATTCTGAGACAAAAACCATACTAAAAGATCCAGCAGAAGAAACTCACCAGGCAAGGTGAACAGTGAAGCAGAAGGGAAATCAGCAACAGGAAAATTATGCAATGACAGGAAGGGCTTGGATATAGCTCAGCAGCACAAACGCCTGCCAAGCAATGACAGGAATAAGTCAATAACCTTCAGTAATGATTCTCAACCTGAATGGTCTAAATCCCCCAATTGAAAGAGACATTGATTGGCACAATGGACAAAGAAACATAAACCAACAGTATAATTTGTACAAGAAGCATGTTTAAACCAAAAAGAAATTCATAGATTAAAAATCAAATGATGGAGAACAATATTCTATGCAATAGGATCCTGAAAATAGATAAGAGTATCTATCCTAGTTTCAGGAAAAGTGGAGTTAAACCACAACTGATCAGAAGAGGCAAAGCACATTCCTACATATTGGTTAAGGGAACAATTCAACAGGAAGAGATAGCAATTATTAATATATATATAATATATATTTTATATATATATACATATATATTTATATCCATGGTGCACCCAACTTCATAAAACAAGTATTACTGAGAACACATTATTAGTATTAGAATAGTGGCTTAAAAGAAATATCTGTAGATATTAAACTGATAAGAACAGGTACTACACTTGATCTTAGCCAAAAGGTCAAGAAGTGATATATCTGCAGATATGATTGTGTTGTATACCTGGAAGATCTATAATTCATTGAAAACCATTGAAAGATATAAGTAAGTTGACAGAAGTGGCTAAGTTAAAATCAATCTCAAGATACTGACCGTGTTTCTATAATTCAGCAATGGCCAGTGTTAAGGGCTGAATTTTGGATTCTCTGCACTAGTTCATTGATGTGTTAACCACCAAAGCCTAAAAATGAGGAAGTGGCTTTGGAGCTGGGTAATAGGCAGAGGCTGGAAGCATTTTGAGGTGTGTGTAAGAAAAAGCCTAGACACCCTGAAGAGAATGTTGGTGGAAATACGGGCAACAAGGTTGATTTGGGCCAGGGTTAGAAAGTAGGGAGAGGCAATCTTTCTCTTCTATTGACAAAGATCTTGAATGCATTGTATTCTAGTGTTTTCTAAAGGGGGAGTTGTGAGTGATGAACTTGATTACTTTCCTGAGTATATTTCAAGCTAAGTGTTAGAAGATGGCTGCTTTTTCCTTTCTTCTTACAAGGTGTGAGGAGACAAATGGAAGAATGAGGTGAAAAGGAATCGGAGACTGAAAAGTTGTTAAATTCTCAGCCTATGTTGACAAAGACATGAAAATTTTGTTCTGGAAAAAACACCTTGCAGCTCTACAACTATTTTATAAAGAAATTATGAGTGTGGCTTATAGATGCAATCAACCATCTCAGGAGAAATACTGCTAGCTTGGATTGAAAGGCTCAAGGAAAAGAAGAAGTGAAAGAAGTTTGACATCAGGATGAGCCGATAGTGTTGTCTGCCTCATACTTGCACTCTCTTCAAGGGAAAGGAAGAAGATCCCAGAGATGACTTAGAAATTGCCAGACCTAAGACTGCCACCATATTCCTAAAGGACTCAGGCCAGGAGGGCAAAGTGGTCTTCACCAAGGCTCCAGAATGTGGGGTCCTTTCTAGTCCCACATCAACAACTAGATGTCAGTGAGGCAGGTTTGAACTTACAGGTTAAGGGACAAGGCCCATGCTCTTCCAGGTCAAAAGTCTGGTGACTCCATCCTAGTGAGCCTGCAGGACAGGGAAAAGGCCAAGGAAGATTTTTCTGTGGTTTTAAATCTAGAGGAATTTCCTTTTCACTTGCGGTTGCTTGGGGTCCCTTCCTTTGTGACTTCTCCTTTTTGCAGTGGAAACGTCTATTCTGTGCCTCTCCCACGACTGCACATTGGAAGCTGACAACTTGTCTGGCTTTTCAGGTTTACAGCTGGAGAGGAATTTTGCGTCAGAATGAATCATACCTCCAGTCTCACTTATACCTAATTTAGATGATGTTTGGGTGAGATTTTGGATGTAGTCGATGGTGGAAAAAGTTAAGACATTTGTGGATGTCAGAATGGGAGGGAGGCCGATTGTATAAAAGACCATGAGCTGGGGGGCCAGAAGGTAGACAGCGATGTGCCGCATGGTGTCCCTGTCAAATCCCCAAGGCAAAGTGCTAATCTATACTACGTCCAAGTGTGCTGTACTTGGAAACAGGGCCTCTGTAGAAAAAGTACAGGAAAGTTGTGAAATATCAGTAGGTCATAATTCAGTATGACTTCAGCATTAGAAGAAGAGATTAGGATACAACACAGAGGCCAGGAGGAGAAACATGATAACACCGTGAGAAAGAGACCTCTGCAAGCCAAGGAGAGAGAGGCCTCAGGAGAAGGCAAGACCGACAGCATCTTCATCTTGGACTTCTAACCTTCAGAACTGTGCAAAAATAAAGTCCCACCATTTTAGTTGTTCAGTGTGGGATACTTTACTTTAGCAGAATAAAAGAAACATACTGTTATCTTCAACCAAGTTGCTCAGTTCACCAGACATAATGTAGCAACCCTTGTAAATTCCTATCATTTTGTTTTGAGGTCATGTTTCATTTTTGTTGTTTTGATTTTGTCTTCATTGTTGTTTTGTCAGTTTTTTAACTTTTAAAATAAAAAGAATCAAAATGTCATCCATTGATCATTGGTGATCATGATAGCCAATACACAAGGGCTTATATTTCCACAAATCATACTTTTCATGTTTCAAACTTTTGTTGCAAAGGTTTAATTACATATAGTACATGGAGGACCACTGCTGCTGCTTACCCTAAATAGTAAAAAATAGATCACCATGTTTGGGCAAGAGTTTTCTTTCTAATGAAACACCAAATATGGTTTTTAATACTTCATCTATTTCTTCCTCCTTCAGTGTCTTAAACTCCACCCGATCTACGTTGTCCTTATAACTGAATCTCCTAGAGGTGAGGGTCCAGCCCACTAAGCAGTGAACTCCTTCAGGTGTCTGCAAGGAGCAGAGAGATATGCTTGTAAACAAAGATGTTGGTGATGTCTGAAGGTAAGTATTTATTGACTCAAAATCTTCAATTGTTCGAGGTTTCAGAGTAAAGGAATAGATTTTCCGATACTTTTCCTTTTCTAGAAGATGAGAATTAAGAAATTCTGGGTTTGAAATGAACTGCTCTCTTCTGATTTGGTCCAAATACCAGATTCCATTTTCTTCTGTCAAGCGGAAAATGCCAGGCACTTGAGGTTGATCCTTCCCAGAAATTAATTCTAGAGGCTCCCACATCTGGTAGGAGCATCCAAAGCCAGCATCAACAATGTAGTTTCTGCCACTGATGGTCACCTGTACTACGAGGTGAATCATACCATTGCTGTATTTTTTGGCTGGGGGGTTGTAGACATATCCGCCCAACATTGTGGTCTGAAACCCCATTGTGGTCAGAGCCCAGTATAGAATATGATTGACCTGGAGGCACCAGCCACCCCGGTTCTTTCTCACAACTTGATCAAAAATGGTCTTTAAGTCTAGCTCCATGGATTCTCCACAATGCATGCTAAGGTTTTCAAAGGGAATGGTTCGAATCTGGTGCTGAAGAATGTCATTTAATGTTTCCAAGTTCAGTTTCTTCCTAGAGTTCTTATAACCAATTCTTTCAAAATATGCTTCAATATCCATGGTCCCCTGAGCAAGGAAAGGAAATCAAGATGAAACATTACTACTTTTGTGCTAGGATTTTCAGGAGAAGTATAATTATAGCTAGAATGCATTTTAAACATGTAAAAATAAGCAATGGTTACAAATATCCATAATAATTTTATATGAATTAATTTGCATTTCTAATTTCACTCAGTATTCTCAGTGACCACAGGACAAGTGTTTTATAATTTCCTTCCACTTTCCACTGCTGTCTTTCCACTGCTTACCCTATATCTGATACCCAGTATCAGATATTATAGATATAGGTGAAATAATGAACAAAAAGATAAATATGTTATATGTGGTTTTACTATTGATAAAAGAAAATTTAAAAATATATTCCAGTTTGTATCCATTGAAGTAGGCTTCTAAGCTAGGCAAAATGGTACACACCTGTATTTCCAGCATTCAGGAGGCTGAGGCAGGAGGATCACTATGGGACTGAGGCCAGCCTGCGCTACATACTGAGATTAAGGCCAGGCTGAACTACACAGACAGACCTTGTCTCAAATAAATGAATACATACATACATACCTACTTGTATACATCAGGCTTCTAACCACTGCCTCATAGGAGCAGGTAAGTTATTCAGCAGAGTAGATGGTATTTAGGGAAACTGACTCACTTAAGTTATTCATTAGCTAAAAGAAACATACAGTTCTCCACTTAAATGTTTACATTCATTCGGTCACTGGTTGATTCATTCATTCATTCACTCATCAAGTACTGTTTGGACCTTTATGCTGGAATCTAATCCACAGGACCAAAGGGGGGTTAAAAGCGTCATTAAACTTTGAAAAGTTAGTGAATGACCTCTGAGGATATATTCCTTATGCTTGCATTTCCCATTCATCTACCAGATCCCTTGCATTTCTTTTCAACCTTAATCACACCACCACCTCTTCACATTTGTGCAAACTAAATCTCTAGCAATCTGGCTCAGAGAATAAGAACACCACACTTCCCCAGTACCTCTTTAGCTTCTTCACCAGAATCTACACAATATAGGTGGAAAAGAGGTGAAATTGATCTAGAGAAAAATGTGCGTTATACACAATGGGCCATTTACTGCTTAAGCGACCATTTCCTATTATTTCTTTCAGATTATATAATTTGTTTTCAAGCTTTTGTTCTTTCCTCCATGAACTTTCATTGCTCAATCCCACTCCTCTTTACTCTAGTGGCTTTGACACTTTTTTTTTTTTTTGATGATAAAGTATAGAGTTGTAATTTAATAATTTTAGGTCCCTTAGGATGAAATCAGCATTTGTTAGGAAACCTCTATACTAGCAACATGCTGTAGGCAAATAATGGTATTCTGTGAATAAATGTTAAACATTTTGTACTCCTAAGATGTTATTCAAAGAGTAAGTACTTGGAAAGTAGCTGCCGTGGAAAGAGATGAGTGAAAACACTATTTGCTTTCCACACAGATTGGTAACGTCTCTGTGCAGGAACAGAGCTTTGTTTCTGTTTGACCAACCACACAGGACAGCTTCAGAAAGCAGAGCAAGCGCACTCATGGAGCCCATTGGGAACCCCCTGGAAGGCATTTTGTACCTGTTCTGCTAAGCTCAATGTAGGTGGATTGTGAATGAATAAAGTCTCAGAATATTTCTTCTACCTGACACAAATTCTAAAAATGATCAGGAAGGTAGTTGCAAAAAATACATACGATATTTCTCTCAAAAACTAAAGGGTAGTTTCCCTGACCACTACTTATGAAGAACAGGCAATCAACAAGGACAGACAGAGCTGACAAAATGGTGAACAACCGAGTTTCCCTGGCAAGCGTGCAGGAAGTAATATGATAGGAGATGGAAGGCACCTTGAAGGGTATAAGCTAGGAGTTCGGAAGCCCCTCGAAGGCATCACAGAAGCCATCACACGGATGTTCGCTATGGCAACAGGAAAGCAGAGTGAAGCATGTTCCATGCCTTTGGGTAGTACCAATGCGTTTAGCAGATACAGCAAAGTGCAGTATGCAGTGGGAACACCTGGCTTCACTTAGATGGGAAAGGAGCTATAGCTGGGGATGCAGGGACAGAACATGAAAGAAATGGTCTTAGAGAAAACTCAGGGGAAATACAGCTCTATGTACAGGAATATGGTGCTAAAATGTATGAGAATACGGTATGACACTGGGATTAAAAGAAAAGATGTAACATGTAAAATTTACATGCCAAAAAACACAACCACTGAGGGAAGAAAAATGAATAGAAAGAAGTTCTTCTGAGGAACATGGCAGGATAGAGCATGTAAAAACGGACTTATTTTAAAAAGTTAAAGAATAAGGTGAAGCAATAATCTGGTTTGTGAAAAGAAATATTTGAGAACATAGGAAATACATTGAGCACAGAAGTAATGCAAAAGTAATGACAAAAGACAACTTTCTGGATATTACATAATATCACAGTAATTTTAAGAAAATATATTTATAATGAAAGCTTATGAAAAGATAAAGCCATTCACAAAGTAAAACAAGGGCTAAGAGAAATGGAGAGAAGACTGTCATATTTTCCTATCACTGAGATACAATATACAACATCCACAAATGAAAGGAAGAAAGGTTTACATTGGGTCAAAGTTTGTGGAAGTTTCAGTCCATAGTCAGCTGACACCAAGACAGGGCAGCATGGCAGAGGGGCCTGGCGGAGGAGAGAGAGCTCATGGCGTGGTGACTGGAAGCAGAGAGAGGGACAGAGATCCAGGGAGGAAGGAGGGAGATGGACCGTTCCAGGCCAGGCTCCCAGTGGACCACCTGCTCCAACCTGGCTTCACCTCCGCATGTCACACTTGGCATGACCTCATCAGGGGACTAATGCACTGCTGAACATGAGACCCCTATGATGCCATCACTTCCCACAAAGCCTTAGGGGACAGCTAGAGGAAACAATTACAAAAACAATGCACTTCATCTTTCTGGAGAGGAGAATTCAAGAATTGTAATAGGAAATATACAAACGATCTAGCTCTAGAGCTATATATAGATGCAGACCCAGATATCTATCTGTCTATCTATCTATCTAGATAGGTAGATATATAAAATTTTCCAGAAATAAAATTAAAAGAAGGCAAGTTGATTCAGGAAAGTTTGATTCTATAAGCTTGACACTGAGATATATTCTTATTACATTTTGGAAATTTAAAACTAAAAAGAAGTGCCGAACCGTAATGTAGAGAAGGAACATAATTCATGATGAAAAAAATATCAGGTAGGTAATAGAATATTCCACAAAAATTTCTAAAATGAGGTAAATGAGTTACAACTACAAAACGTTGTAGTAAAGTCTGATCTGCAGTTATTATTGTGTTCTGATTATTTGGAATGAACTGGAGACACAAATGCAAAAGCAGTCTTAAACATGAAAGAATTTCATAAATACAAAAGGTATAAGCTGTTCTGGTGGAGTATTTGCTCTTTAGCAGCCGGTGAAGAAGGAAATCAAAAGGAAAACTAAGAAATGGGTCACAATGAAGTACCGTTATGAGCATTGGATGATGAACCCATAGGCTGGTGAAAAATCTACTTCAGCTACGCAGAAGCAGAAATAAGTGAAAATGAAATCTGAAAACTGAGAAAGACCAGACTGAGAAGATGTGACCCAGTATCGTCAACAATGTGACTGTTACATGAGAAACTCAGGGACATGAACATTCTAAAGAGCTTGTTAGAAGAGACTGCAATTCAGGAATCAGACGGCACCAGAAACCAGGCAATTCGGTGCTCCAGGAGGGAAAGGAGGGGGATGGACAAGAGGAGCACAAGGGGCAAGAAGCGGGAAGAGAGACTTTTGTAAGACATCCACAGAAACCAACGAAACATGTCCTTGGCAGAGTGGAAGTTCTTAGACAGAAGTTGGTGGCTGCTGATAGGAAAGTGATGGAGTAGCCTTTTATTGTTTACCTTGGTAATACAAGTACGGGAAATGTTCAGCCCAATGCTTGTCCAACTAAGATATGTGTAGCAGAACACATTTAATGACTGACATACAAAGCAGAAGTAGTGTGTCACTTTTGACACGCATGTACATTTTTCTCACTTCCTTCTGTATTTTGTTCTTTTTCACAGTGAACTGTGTAGCAGTGAGACCACACCTAGCAAGCCCTTGGAGTATCTGGATGGAGAAGTTCCAGCTCTGCTGGCGTTCACTTTGCCGTATGTAAAGAATGGTAGTCAACTGTCCTCAGCGTACAGAGCGCCTGCATCTCCACCGAGACTCCCAGCAGCCAGGGCAGTGTTGTGGGGTATTAGCAGCCGATCAGGCAGGCAAATCGAAAGGGAAACTGCAGCTCAGGCTGCAGTCAGAGAAGAATACACTAAGTAGGCCTCTGGGCGGGAAGTTGACGGAGAATGACAGTTAAAAAAAAGTTCCTTCTGAAGGACGGGGTGGAGTCAGCTATTTTGAATTTAAGGCAATTAAAGGAGAGGCCTCAGTAAGGAAAGGACAGTGTATCAGAATCAGAAAGGATCAGAAAGGAGTCAGCAAGAGTACCGTAGCTCCGGGCTTCCTGCCAGAGCAGAGCGTCTACCAGGCCCCTAGCTCCTGCGGCTCTTTCCCTGCTGCTATGGAGCCTGATAGTCCACGCCCAGGGTTCTGCCTGCCTAGACTGACCTAACGTACATATGGCCACGGTTTGGATCACTGACAGCTCTTGGAGACCCTCCCCAGTAAGCCTCCTAACAATGTGGCGAAACTTCCCTCGGGAACTCCTCTAGTCATTTCTGAAAAAACCAGTTAAAACTTGTTGGATAGTTGAGATCATGTGGAGGTTTCTGACCAGCTGCTCTAGGAGGAGTGGAAGTTGTTATGAACTTGGACACACTAGAGACAGAGGAAAGTGCACATTTTTAAAAGTACACAAGAAGAAAATCTATTTAAGGAACATACCTTAAACACAGCTATTTTTTTAAATATATTTTCTTCTTCCTCACAACAAATCTACTAGGCAAACATCGATTTGCTCTTATTTTGCAGATGGGAAGCAGAGTTTGAGAGAATTTACATGTCTTGTTTAATTTCTCACGGCTGGGATGTGGGGTGGCTACAACTCCAACCAAGCCAGACAGTTTGATTCAGGGCTCTGCTGTAGTCACTTTTGTACTGCAGAGTATTTACAGTGTTAGTTCCCAAGTAAGTGCCAGTTCAATTTCCTGATCAAATTTCAGCATTTGAAATTTAAGGCTAGAGTAGAACACAGTCTCCCAGATCACCTTCTGAGATCGGATTTCACAGCAAAGGCGTCAGGAGCGCCACTTACCCGGTGCCCTGGAGCTGCAAGCAGGAAAGAGGCTGAGTGCAGTTCTGTCTGTTTCAAGGTCTGCAGAGAAGTGGCCTTTAGCTTTCCAGAGTCCCCGCCCCTTGGCACACACACAGCCCGGAGATCTCTGGGAAATGTCCCTGCCCAGGCCACGTATTTCTCCCGTGGAGCTCTTGCTCTAATTTTTTATGGGAGCAGCTGAGAGTCATATGAACTGCTCATTCTTGTGTGACAGGCTGACAGGCACAAAGGTAGTGCACAGGGCTGCTGCTCTTTGCTCAGAGCGGACTTTCTGTGTGCGATGTGGACTCTGAGCTAGAGGGTCAGGAGAAGAATTCCTAACCTAGAGCGCCCAAAGGAAAATGGAAGGTTTGATGTATACTCCCAACTTACGACACCTGTCTCTAGCAATTCCTATAAGGTCTCTCTTTTCACTTTCTATTCTTCCTTTCTTCATCCCCATTCCATTTCTCTTCCCACACACAGTCCCTGTGTAATGTGTCTGAAAATTGTCCTTGCATGTGGTACGTGTGAGCCAAGTGTCATATGGTTGTATTTTTGCTTCTGTCTTTCATTTACATTAATGATATTGGTGCTGAAGACTTGTTGTTCCCTAGATGTTTTCTTCTATATTAAAAAAAAAAAGTCTTTATAGCCTAATGAATGTCTGATGCTATCCCTTGTGCAAATACTGTACTAGTAAATTCCACTAGTATTTCACAGGGTAACCTGAGACTCCCTTCCTAAAGGCTTCCTGGTGGTCTGTGCTTGAGCAGGCTGATTAGACCCACAAAACAATGCCCATGAGATAGGTACTCATGCATGGATAACTGAAGTTGGGGGATAAATGCTTTTTCTTTCTGCTCAGTTGGGATTGCTTGCAGAACAGTAACTCCTGGTATTGCCCATTGTTTTATGGCACCCTTGTCTACAGGATACTTACCAAGAAAGCTGCCCTTGCTGACTGTCAATCCATTACTCATTCATTACTTCTTTTTCTATTAGATTTTTATACTGGCACCACCCCCAAGAGACTGTCGAGCTTCTCTGAGGATTCCCACCACGTGGTCATCCCAAAGGCATTCTGCGCAGGGAGCTGCTCTTGCCCAGATCTCTCCTCTCTGGAAGACAGCTCGGCCTCACATTTGCACATCATGTGCAAGGTCCATATGAGGCCTTTTCTCGGAGCAAAGGATAAAGCTGCCCCAAGGAAGATCTGAACCTCAGCGCTGAGGGAGATGGTGGGGATGGGGGAAGAAGCCAGCCAGGGCCTTGCCTTAGGACCGAAAGCAGCTTGTCTATTGGCAGAGTTTTCCCACCTCTTGGCATCTGGGACTGAGCCAGGCATTTGGTCACTGTAGCAGTAGACACGGCGTGCCTCAGTAGGCTGTGCCATGAACGCAATGAATCTCAGACCCTGAACTCCAGTTTGTAAGGATAGACCATTTCCTTACTTTGCATGAAGGTGAAATCCAAGGACAGAAAAAGAAAACTGCACTGAGCTTACTTACTGTCCAGATAAAGAGAATCACATGGATGAAGAGTTTACAAAATGATCTGTGAAAGAAAAAGGAACTTTTCTGGTTAGGAAGGGGAGGGTGGCACTAGGTATGAGTGAGGTTTTGATTCATTCTAGCTGGAAGGGCCAAATACTCATATGCGTTTAGGCCAAGTTCTGCTGTTTGTTGGTGAGGGAGACTATTTAACTAGATCCAGTGAGGTCCTGGCAGAGCAGACAGGTCAAAGGCCTTAGGTGTCTTCTGTTTTAGTTACAAGTCACGGGTTTTTTTTTTTGGTTTTTCTCCGGTACTGGGAACCGAACTCACGACCTTGCACTTGCCAGGCAGGTGCTTTTGCTGCTGAACTAAATCCCCAGCCCCAAGTCACAGTTTTTAAATAAATCAATACTGGCTGCTTAGGACCAGCTCTTCTGAAACACGACATTAGTTTTATATCTTCTTGTGCTGCAAGTGCAGACTTGCGCTCTTACAATCACACCGAGCCTGCCTGGCTGCATATGAAGCCATTTACTCTGGCTACTTAGTTTCTTTCATTTTATACATGAATTTCAAAGCTTCACACAGTGTCAAGGTTTGTGTTTAAGGTGAGTGTAAGTCCTTTGTCATTGTTTGCTCTTTGCCCTCACCGCTCTCTGAGCGTGATAGGACTTTCTCGTTGGCTTTCCTTCCTCAGAATCCACAAACTTTAGTACTTCAAGCCTCGAACTAGGAAAGTTGCAGCGTCAGATGAGTGCTCCAATTCCTAGGTATTGATTAGCTTGGTGGGTAGATCATTCCAATGTCATACTTCCCTGTGTCAGACAAGCAGTCTCACATATGTAGTCTTTTAGGTCATAACCTTAAAGCATACATCCATATGTTACCTACACTGGCCACCTTAGAGGCCCACCTACTGTTAGGTGTAAGCAATGTTAAAATAGGGCAGAATGGACTCCATGATTTCCTAGTTGGTTTTTCACCTCCCTTTACTACTAAAATTTTCCTAGTGCTTCAGTTGTGACCAGTAAGTAACCCGCTAACATGGTTGAAAAAATTGGTCCATGTGTAAAATCTGAGAGAAGTCATTTGACCAATCATCTCTAATTATTTAGATCTATCTGACATCTATCTGTCATCTACCTAATTTATATTTTTTTGAAAATTTAAAATGCCATTTTGACCATACTTAGCCATTGTTTTAAGTGTTTATTTCAATCATTGCAAATTATTTATGATATTGTGCAGTGTTCACAATTCTAGATCCTTTCCATCTGGCAAAAAGAAGCTTTCCTTTCTTCTCCCTAGCTACTAGGAACCAGTTCAGGTCTCTATAGATTTAGCTTTTCTAGACATTTATATATACGGAGTCATACAGTGTGCATTTGTGTGTTGAGATTCTTTCACTTCGAATACTGTGTTGAAGTCTATCCATGGTGTGGTTAGGATATTCCATTCTTTTTTATTGAAAAACAGACCTTTATATGATTATAATACTTTGTGCATTCCTTTAACGATGATGTATTCATCTCTATATTTTTCAGTGGAGCAGAGTGATAGATACATGATTCACAATCAAGACTGATAATCAACTGAATCAATTATAAATAAGTCAGAGATTAAATATGGCAAGCACATAATCCACACACCAGGACATCTTTGGACATAGCCATGCATTTTAAGTGCAAATGACACATAAAAGAAGGAGGCATAATTTCCGGCTTGCGGACTTGGAAGTGTTTCACAGAAAAGGAGCATCTTTACAGGAAAATGAAAATGATTTTGAACTTATTTATATTCCTCTCGGTCTATGCTCCCTTTCTTGGGATCACCACAGCACAAACGAAGGTCAGGAATGGAAGCAGAGGGGCCAGATTTGATTATCGCTGTCAGACACTTTTGACTCTGGAAACCCTAAGAGCTCAAGTGCTACCTCCCTGTGAAGGATTCACTCAAAGTTCAGTCAGAATTAATCCATTTTCCTCTTTCCAGGAGATGGAATTAAACATTCATTAGAACAAACAGTACAAATGCCATTTCCCAACATAGATCCATGCTGGATGACTCCCGGTCAGGTTCTCCTGGAGGGGAAGTCAAAGCTGTGTCTTAAACTAGTTTCCCAGTGTCCCACACAGGAGCTTTGCATATGTTCTGCCTTTCAGTGTCAATTCTTTTGAAGTTCCTTACATTCACCAGCACTGGATTTCAACTTTATTTCATCTGGACACAATCTTCTGGTCCTCACCATCCACGTCCCAACTTCTAAAACCATGGAATGCCAGAAATGTTTTATTACTTTGTTTTCGTTGTAGTTCTTGCTGTTGTTGTCGTTGTCTGTGGTGTCCTTCAAACTTACTGTGACCTCTGATTCCTTCCTCCAATCTCAGTTCTGTCCACCAGAAGCCACACAGCCTGGGAGTTTGGTAGGAAGTACATGGGTCAGGAATTCCTTTCTTGCTCTCAGAGCGGGAAGAAATTCAGGAGTGGACTGGGGGTTGGAAATGGACAGGAACAGTCCAGAACCCCTTGTTATCAGGGACATCCATTTGCACTGGAACCTTTCCCATGGACTCTATCTTTTGGTCTTGCTTTTATTTCCTAGTTTTTCTGAGAAATCCCTGCTAGGACAGGCTGCTGCCTAGACAACAAGCCAAGTCCCCATGACTGTGGAGCTGGTTTGTTTGTGTTCCTTGTGTGTGTTCAACACATACACTTCCATTTCACCTTCCTTTCTATTCTTCACTCAGAACTAAACTGAGACCTTCTCTTGGCAAGCTATTCCCTGCCTCACATGGCTCAAAAAACTTTCCCTCTGTCATGGAGCTTCAATGGCATGACAATGAGGTGTTGAGCACCCTGGGGACCTTGTGTGCTTCTTTGTCCTCACAACCTAAATGCATTAAGTTTTACCTCCATAATCTCTTCCTCATACTTCTCTTTGCCATAACCCTTTGTGATTATCTGGTACCAGTGCTCATGCCTACTACCAGCCATTTGAAAAGCTCAGACCCACACGTGTAAACATCCTATTGTCTCCCTAGTATAAGAAACTGAAGGAGTAAATAAAATCTGAAAGGTACAATAGATATTGTGAAAAGGAAGGAAACTGCTGAAAAAGAGAGAACTGGGATGAGAGAAAGGAGAAAAGAAAGAGAGAAGGAAGGAAAAAAGTATGTATATATATTCATAAGATAACTATGATAATAGTACTAAGGATTTTTTGATCAATTTTGCATGCCTATATCTGGTAATCTGAGCAACTGTAGGGGGTCAATGAATCTTAGCATATTATTTTGGATAAAATAGTTTTGGTAAAAGCCTACATGGCACCTTAGGAAGCCTCCTGGGATAGTGTAAGAGCTAATTCCCCAGATCAACACTGCCCAGGAATGTCTCCCCAAGATACGGGGGCGCCTACGCCTAGGTAACCCTCCGTGACCCTGCCTGGACAGTTCCATCTCCTGGCCTTAGGTAAACATTGTAACCATAAAGTAAATGTATGGTTATCTAAAGGGAGACATATAAAACAGAGTACAAAAAGTATATATCACTGTGGTTGGGCTCATGACTGGAGCCTGACCTGGTTACATGGCAAAAGGAAAACAACAT